CACTTATGCGCCTCCTACCTTGGCGATTTTCTGGCTCTCTCGCACACTTTAGCGAGCCGCCTGGCCTTTATCCGTCTCTCTCGCACTTATACGCTTCCTACCTGCGCGATTTTCTGTCTCTCTCGCACTTATACGCTTGCTACCTGCGCGATTTTCTGTCTCTCTCGCACTTATACGCTTCCTACCTCGGCGATTTTCTATCTCTCTCGCACACTACAGCGAGCCGCCTGGCTTTTATCTGTCTCTCTCGCACTTATACGCTTCCTAGCTGCGCGATTTTCTGTCTCTCTCGCACTTATACGCTTGCTACCTGCGCGATATTCTGTCTCTCTCGCACTTATACGCTTCCTACCTCGGCGATTTTCTATCACTCTCGCACACTACAGCTAGCCGCCTGGGTATTTTCTGTCTCTCTCGCACTTATACGCTTCCTACCTCGGCGATTTTCCATCACTCTCGCACACTACAGCGAGCCGCCTGGCTATTTTCTGTCTCTCTCGCCCTCATACGCTTCCTACCGGGGCGATTTTCTGTCTCTCTCGCACTTATACGCTTGCTACCTCGGTGATTTTCTGTCTCTCTCGCACTGGGTGCCCTTGAACGGGGCAACCGAGGGTGCAACCACTCTCGGAGGGTCGCGGGGGAACGCCATGCTGCTTTGATGGAAAAACCACCCAAGTCCCGCCTGGCTATTCGCTGTCTCTCTCGCACTTATACGCTTCCTACCTCGGCGATTTTCCGTCTCTCTCGCACACTACAGCGAGCCGCCTGGCTATTTTCTATCTCTCTCGCACTTATACGCTTCCTACCTCGGCGATTTTCTGTCTCTCTCGCACACTTTAGCGAGCTGCCTGACTATTTTCTGTCTCTCTCGCACACAATCGCGTCGTGCAAGGCGATTTTCTATCTCTCTTGCACTTATATTCTTCCTACCTTGGCGATTTTCTGTCTCTCTCGCACTTTTTCCCTTGCTACCTAGGCTACCCAGGAAGCATATAAGTGCGAGAGAGACAGCAAGTAGCCAGGCAGGACTTGGGTGGTTTTTCCGTCAAAGCAGAATCGCGTTCCCCCGCGACCCTCCGGGAGTGGTTGCACCCTCGGTTGCCCCGTTCAAGGGCACCCAGTGCGAGAGAGACAGAAAATCACCGAGGTAGCAAGCGTATAAGTGCGAGAGAGACAGAAAATCGCGCAGCTAGGAAGCGTATAAGTGCGAGAGAGACAGAAAATAGCCAGGCGGCTCGCTAAAGTGTGCGAGAGAGGCAGAAAATCGCCCAGGTAGGTAGCGTATAAGTGTGAGAGAGACAGCAAATAGCCATGCGGGACATGGGTGGTTTTTCCGTCAAAGCAGCATCGCGTTCCCCCGCGGCCCTCAGAGAGTGGTTGCACCCTCGGCTGCCCCGTTTAAGGGCACCCAGTGCGAGAGAGACTGAAAATCGGCTAGGTAGCAAGCGTATTAGTGCGAGCGAGGTAGAAAATCGCCTTGCACGACGCGATTGTGTGCGAGAGAGACAGAATATAGCCAGGCGGCTCGCTGAAGTGTGCGAGAGAGACAGAAAATCGCCCAGGTAGGAAGCGTATAAGTGCGAGAGAGACAGAAAATAGCCAGGCGGCTCGCTAAAGTGTGCGAGAGAGACAGAAAATCGCCCAGGTAGGAAGCGTATAAGAGCGAGAGAGACAGCAAATAGCCGGGAATAGGCGGGACTTGGGTGGTTTTTCCGTCAAAGCAGCATCTAGTTCCCCCGCGACCCTCTGAGAGTGGTTGCACCCTCGGTTGCCCCGTACAAGGGCACCCAGTGCGAGAGAGACAGAAAATCGCCCAGGTAGCTAGCGTATAAGTGCGAGAGAGATAGAAAATCGCCTTGCACGAGGCGATTTTGTGCGAGAGAGATAGAAAATAGCCAGGCGGCTCGCTAAAGTGTGCGAGAGAGACAGAAAATCGCCCAGGTAGCAAGCGTACAAGTATAAGTTCGAGAGAGACAGCAAATAGCCAGGCGGGACTTGGGTTGTTTTTCCGTCAAATCAGCATCGCGATCCCCCGCGACCCTCAGGGAGTGGTTGCACCCTCTGCTGCCCCGTTCCAGGGCACCCAGTGCGAGAGAGACTGATAATCGCCCAGGTAGCAAGCGTATTAGTGCGAGCGAGGTAGAAAATCGCCTTGCACGACGCGATTGTGTGCGAGAGAGACAGAATATAGGCAGGCGGCTCGCTGAAGTGTGCGAGAGAGACAGAAAATCGCCCAGGTAGGAAGCGTATAAGAGCGAGAGAGACAGCAAATAGCCGGGAATAGGCGGGACTTGGGTGGTTTTTCCGTCAAAGCAGCATCGCGTTCCCCCGCGACCCTCCGAGAGTGGTTGCACCCTCGGTTGCCCCGTTTCCAGTGCGAGAGAGACAGAAAATCGCCGAGGTAGCAAGCGTATAAGTGCGAGAGAGATAGAAAATCGCCCAGGTAGGAAGCCTATAAGTGCGAGAGAGACAGAAAATAGCCAGGCGGCTCGCTAAAGTGTGCGAGAGAGACAGAAAATCGCCCAGGTAGGAAGCGTATAAGTGCGAGAGAGACAGCAAATAGCCAGGCGGGACTTGGGTGGTTTTTCCATCAAAGCAGCATCGCGTTCCCCCGCGACCCTCCGAGAGTGGTTGCACCCTCGGTTGCCCCGTTTCAGGGCACCCAGTGCGAGAGAGACAGAAAATCGCCCAGGTAGCAAGCGTATAAGTGCGAGAGAGATAGAAAATCGCCTTGCACGACGCGATTGTGTGCGAGAGAGACAGAAAATAGCCAGGCGGCTCGCTAAAGTGTGCGAGAGAGACAGAAAATCGCCCAGGTAGGAAGCGTATAAGTGCGAGAGAGACAGCAAATAGCCAGGCGGGACTTGGGTGGTTTTTCCGTCAAAGCAGCATCGCGTTCCCCCGCGACCCTCCGAGAGTGGTTGCACCCTCGGTTGCCCCGTTTAAGGGCACCCAGTGCGAGAGAGACAGAAAATTGCCCAGGTAGCAAGCGTATAAGTGCGAGAGAGATAGAAAATCGCCTTGCACGAGGCGATTTTGTGCGAGAGAGACAGAAAATAGCCAGGCGGCTCGCTAAAGTGTGCGAGAGAGACAGAAAATCGCCCAGGTAGCAAGCGTACAAGTATAAGTTCGAGAGAGACAGCAAATAGCCAGGCGGGACTTGGATGGTTTTTCCGTCAAATCAGCATCGCGTTCCCCCGCGACCCTCCGCGAGTGGTTGCACCCTCGGTTGCCCCGTTTAAGGGCACCCAGTGCGAGAGAGATGGAAAATCGAGCGAGCCGCTTGGCTGTTTTCTGTCTCGCTCGCACACCCAAGCGTCCCCCAGGCGATTTTCTATCTCTCTCGCACACTTGAGCGAGCCCTCTGCCGGTTTTCTGTCTCTCTCGCACGCCCAAGCGTCCCGCCAGGCGATTTTCTATCCCTCTCGCACACTTGAAGGAGCCGCCAAGGGCAACCGCTCTCAGAGGGTTGCGGGGGAACGCGATGCGCCTTTTTTGCGCCTTGATTGTATTTTTCAAACATATTGTACACACAGTAAGGACCATTGAGGCAAAAAATGAGGGATTTTTGAGCGGACTTTTCAGGGTAATGGACGATTATCGGAATCATTTTTGTGTTATTTTCAGTTTTTTACGCCTTTTTTGGACAAAAGTGAAAAAAAAAGATACGAAAGCCCAATACACCATCAGAATTGTTCTTTAGGCGTCTTGCTAATACTCTTAGGAGCATTTTAAAAAAAATTGGAGCATAAAATAACCTGCAGCTCAAAAGTTATGGGCATTTGAAGAGGGGAAGGTTTTGTCACCAAAATCAGACAAAATCACAACAAACAATTAACCGCAGCACATCAATGAGTGAAGTCGAACATTTCATGCATTTTTTTCTCAAATCTACATACTTTCATTGACATTGTGTCAAATTTTCACTTCAATCCGACGAAAAATGGGCCCGGTGTGAATTTTATTGGGAAAAATGACCCTCTCTTTCTCGGAAGTTCGAAACGTCACTTTCTTGAAAATTCCTAAAAGTTCAAAAATTCATATCTCAATGAGTTTTTCGATTTGAGACCTAATATTTTGCAGAAGTTCATTATTTGGTGGTCTGATCAAGAGAAAAATTTATCATCAAAATCCGAGTCGGGTGGTTGCATGGCTGGTAGGTTCTATATGGAATGACCCTACATAATCTCTAGTCCAAGGCAGCAGCTATTATACGTCAACAGATATCCACATCGAAGTTAAAGAATATCAAGGCACAACCAGGTTGTTGTATCCGATGAAAGTACCTACAGGTCTTTAGGGGAGCTTCTGGAGGCTTTCCACAGGGCCACTTGCAAAAATGGTGAGATGTATCAACTTTAGGTCTACATAAGCCTCCGTTTCAGACCAAAATCTCACAAAGTTGAGGCACACCCATCGTAGTTTCCTCTGGAAGATCAATTAAACAGTTCTTCATCAAATCAATAGTACGAGCACTAAAACAAAAAGAGACGTCTAAGGCTGAAGTTGCAAACATGATAGTGCTCTTTTCTTGTCCTAATAGTCATGATTAATTTGTTGAACTAAAAAAGCAGGAAATTTTTTGTTAATAGAATGAAGATCATTGTCATTGAACGCTTGAGTATTTTTGAATGAGAACAGTTCTAATGCATCACTAGTCAGGGATAAAAATACATTTGCCTTCATTAAAATTTTGCGTAAAATACTGTGAGGACTTTCAAAATTTCCATGTTCAACTTATAAGTAAGAAAAATAAAGTTTTTTGTACGCATCAATTTAAAGTTCCTGCGCACATAAAAGCAAAGCATACTAGAGTCTAATGGAGCACTAAACTAATAAGTTCTATAAGTTTAACGATTGAACAATTTTGGCGAAATTTTTCTGGATAAATTTTGCTAAGCCGAGCACTGATCAATTACATGTCCAGTTACTTTTTAAAGCAGCAAAAGTGCAGACCCTTTTATTGTTACATTAATCAATCGTCTCTGTTTTCTTAGGGAGGATCGCAAAAACAAGAAGTCATCCTACAAACTTATCTACGGAGAAAGCGTCATCCTTGAAAAATTGCGAGGGTTGACCTTTGAAATTTCACCGGATTCTTTTTTTCAAGTAAATGTCGCTGGAGCTGAGCTTTTGTACGAAGCTGTTGGAGATTTAGCCCAAGTCAATCCGTCCACCTCTGTCTTAGATGTATGTTGTGGAGCAGGAACAATAGGCTTGTCTTTGGCTCAGGTAAATAATGCCCCTTATTCAATCTCTCACACAGTGAAAAAAAAAGAAATGTAATAATGCCACTTGGTCCACCGAGAAATTACACTGCTCATTTGCCAAGAAAATTTTACCAGAGACTTAAGGAAGCTGGCAGTATTCTGCCCTCCCCAGGCACCATGCGCCTGTAAATTGGGGAAGCTTGGCCATCATAGCACCCAGAAAAGCTGCTGCACCCCATCGTTTTTTTAAAACTTACAGTTTTATTTGCCGTAATACACATGCTGGAAGTCAATGTGGCTTCAAAAAAATTGTAGATGGCTCCCAGAAATTGAGCTTTGCGACCAAGGTGGCACCTAAAATTTTAGGGAAAAGGCAGAACACTGGAAGCTGCCAAAGTTGTCTGAGGAAGCTGACAAAGTTGTCCGAGGAAGCTGACAAAGTTGTCTGAGGAAGCTGTCAGTTAGAATTTGACTTGTTTAGACAAAGCTCCCGAATTTTTTAACCCCCCCCCCCCCTGTCCCTGATATATGATGAAACTAACTTTTGAGTATACACAAATGGACCTTATCATGTCACATTATCACAACATATCATGACTTGAAGAAGTCGGCCAAGAAGAAAGTCAAGCATTTTCCCAATGAGATATATTTTTGAAAAATTTAAGACTAAAAGTAGATCGTTAGTTTCATTTTGTGATGCAATGGTGTTAGTTCAATGCGCTACAGTTTGCGCTATGAAACACCTCCTCAGTAGGACTTAGTGCAGTGCGTCACAACTCATGGTGCCATGAAACACTGTTTTTACTTGGAAAATTCCTTTTTATTTTTTTTTTATAGTGCCATAAACTGTGGCACACTGAAACAGCTATTCTCAAGGTTTTCAAGTTAGGTCAGGTTGAGTTGGGTTGGATTGGGTTAGAATCAACTGGGAAGTCTCCACCGCAGCATTCATTCATCAACTCTTAAAACTTGTCATTTTCACCTCCTCCGATGTCCCAATATTGGCGACAAATTTTCCCTCGAAAAACAAATCAGTCAGACGAACATGTAATTTGATCTTAATTCCTTAACCTGGTGTTTCATTGACAGAGTAATGAGATTATTTTTGCTTTGTAGAATGCTAAATGGATATTTGGTCTAGACATCGACACAGATGCGATAGAAGATGCAACAAGAAATGGGAAGCGGAATAATGTCTCCAACTGCTCATTTTTTTCCGGACGAGCAGAACAAATCCTGTCATCTGTGCTTATGAGAGGCCCTGATAAACATGAGGATATAGTTGCAATTGTTGACCCCCCGCGGGCCGGATTGCGTAAGTCAACATGCCCTTTCATTAATTTATTTCATGATAATTTTCATTCTCGAATTTACCTTTTTATTTGGACAAATGATTTACCTGCATGTTCTTTGTGGTCACCTCAGGATTCTTACGTGTTCACTGAATTTAAAATGAAAAATCTACAAGATTGTGTCATGAATGTTAAGTATTAATTTTAAAGAAAATCAAGCCAGCCTTAGAGATTTAGCAGAATTCAATCTGTAAACTCAGTGGAAAATTCAATTCTGTTAATCTCCTGAATAATTGGTCGAGAAACACTTCCCAAATAAGATGTGAAATCAGCAATTTGTATTTTTGTTGCTTTTTTGGGATTTTATGGCAACAGTTCCATCATCAATTTGCTCAATAGCAATTAGCTTAAGAGTGTCCTTTTCTTTTTTTTTGTCACTGTCTGAATAGACACACCATCACAAACTTAGGTCATATAGTATTTCACTTAGATTTTGATCGGATTTTGGCCAAAATTTTCTTTCTACGAAACTATCAGACACTACTTTTCTGCTCTGGCAAACGGGCCTCGGAAGACCCTCAGAGAGATGTCAAAAAATTAGCAAAGAGAGCCTCTTACTGAAGTGGCAAAATACTCTTTGCTTTTTGGCCCTGAAGGAGTATAATGGCTTAGAGCTGCATACGTTTGAAGAAGTCTGTCATTAAATTCCTTTCAGTCTAACATAATTTTTTTTTCGTCTCTGTGATTGTTTTGCTTGACGTTTTCTCACTTTCTTCCAACAGTGCACAGAACTCTTTTTTTAAACATTTATTCAGTAGAAAATCAATGATTATCAATTCTATTAATTAATGTTGATCAAATGAGGATTGTCGAGCTTCACAAGTTTTCAAAATATAACGTAATTCCTAATTTTTGTTTTAGCTTTTTCTCCTTATTGTTCTAATTCTTCTTTGGTAGTTCAATTCATGAGCGCAATTATGGACTAAAGCAAGGCGATTGTTGATTGAAGAAGATACCTTACGCGTCTGCTGCATTTTTTTGCAGCTTCTTTTTTTCTTTTTTCTTATTTTTTATTGACAACAGCATTACCAGATCAATAATTAACCAAGTAATAAATAATCATCGTTTGCATGTATATATTTAAAAATAATAGTTATGTTTGCAGTTGGAAGTAAGTAAGAAATAGTCAAGCACTACGTTACAGAGACGATTAAAAGTATGTTGCATTATCAATATCCAAAATGCAGACCTCTCAGCTGCTACGCAATCCTCTGAGCCGCTAGACTTGTTTAGTGGTGTAACTAAAAGGGCATTACTTTGCCGCTTCAGCAAACAACCCTCTTTGCATATATTTTGAAAACTATTTTCGGGTCTTCAAGGGCTCATTTGCAAAAATGGCGAATTAGGGGTCTAACAGTTTTGTTGAGGAAACTTTTGGCCATACTTGGATCAAAATCTAGGTGGAATACTACAAGACCTATCTTTGTAAGACCTCCTCTAGATGCAAGAAAGAGCATTCCACTTCTAGTGTTTCGTGTGTGACTGAGGGACAATTCAGGACATTAAACCGTCTCAGTAAATGACTAATTTTGGCTGATGAATAAAAAGATAGTATCATATTCTCAGTTGCTCCTCTTGAGTTCTGTTTTTGAAATGCTTGTAACTTTTTTTTTTTTCTTCTGGACAGATCGAGACGCGGTAGCAATGTTGAGAAAAACAGAAAAGTTGAACAAACTGGTCTATTTGTCTTGCAACCCAACTGCGAAATCAGTGATGGAAAACTTTGTGGCTCTTTGCCGTCCACCCTCGAAAACACTACAAAATAATCCATTCTTTCCTCGGAGAGCTGTTGTTGTTGATATGTTTCCGCATACTCCTCATTTTGAACTTGTTGTTTATTTTGAACGACTTGACGACTCAACGCTTTTGATGAACGAAAATAACCTTACAGCCAATCTTGAATCCTGAAGTTAACAGGGTTTAAATAACTGTACTTAGGTTTGCTTTGAAGAATTTATCATTTTAAAGTCTTCCATACAATACTTCATCCGAGAAAGAATTTTTGATTGAACAGCGCCACCAAAAGAAATATGTGCTCTGAAAGTAATTGATCAGAGCTCACTGGAAGATTTTTTGGTACAAGCAACCAGTAAAAACTTAGCTCCAAATCATCAACAGCGACAACTAGAGATCCAACAGATCTAAGGCAAGAGCGTTCTTATGTGGGAATCGATGGAGAACTACCTATAAATTGGCTGATCAATGAGAGGAAACCCTTTGGGAGTCAGAAAGGTTCCATTGACTAGTACATTTTGTTTGTATTTTTTTATGGTTGTCTTTGTAAATAGATATTTTTGTTTTTAAGATGGACTTTTGCATTTCATTTGTTGCATCTTTGATCACAAGCCACTGAGGCGGCCTCCTAGGCGTAGTTTAGTTATTTTTGTAGGGGTGCCTGGCCTCCCTATCACCAGGGGCTCTGGAGGTATGAAATACCCTCAAGTACAAACGGAAGTAGAGGGGCCTCTCCCAGGAAATGTTTAAAGTCTATCTCTATTTGAACGTAATTTGAAGCTTTCTAAAGAGAATTTTCCATTTGTTTCTGCACAAAAATTGTGGATTTTCAGCTCAAAATCCTCTGAAATGAATGGATTCAAAAAATTCAAACCATTTTCTGCTGAGCACTCTGAAAAATTTGTGACATTTCAACATGATGAGGACTAATTTTGAGACTTTAGCAACAAAGGACCTTATTCAAAATCTGCCATTTTCAACCTCAGCCAAATCTTAGAAATATTTTTAGGGGTGACAGAGGATCACTCCCCGAGTCCAAAACACTGACAATATTAGCATTGTAGTTGAAATTCGCATTTTTCGTGAACGGTTTGTCTTAAGGAGATGATATTGGTCTCTGTAGAAGAATTGATTTATCTTCTCCTTGGTCATTACTAGAGCGATGCAGTACAGTCCATAATTGTAGAATAAGTATCCATTGTCAAGTAATTTTTACTTTTCTCCAAGTAATCATCATTTGGTTGTTGACTTCTGGCAAAATTTTGGAGGTTTACCGAAAATCAGGAATCTTGCAGTCAGTAATTTTTTTAAGGCTTTTGATTCCCTAGATGTTTTAATGACTGTTGGAAAATTTTTTCGAGAATTCCTAAATGAAAAAACAAGTCTCAAAAAAACTTTCAAGTATACCTTTCATTTCGGAAATCCTTTTTGAGTATTTTTAAGTTAAATTTATGAGAAGTAAAGTTTTATTTTAATAAAATTTAAGTAAGTAAATAAGTGTTAAGATACTCCCAAAACATCAATTCTAGTTTTTCAATTCTAAAAATATTTGAAAAAAATGTTAAAGAACTCTTAAAAAAGTAGTCATTTTTTCAAGACTCTCATACTGAAGTATTTCACCAGGAGTGTAATTGGACTACATTTTGCTCTTGGAAACTACAATTTCCGGTTCATCCGTAAAAACATAGGTGTACATTGTTGCATAGGTAAATTGGACGGAGTTAAACAGAAAGGAACCAAGCCACATCGGGATCGAACCAAGAAAAAGAGGTTTAAAGATTGGCTCCTGCATAAGACTCAATGTATAATATAAACTTCAAGTTCAATTTCTGCAAAATTTGCTCCAACAAAAACTTTGACTTTTTGGCGATACATAGTACCTAGAGCAGTTGTTGAGTTCAAAACCACTCATAACTCAATTTTTTCCAAAATCAGGGTTGGTTCCTTTCTGCTTAACTCAATCCAATTACTACATGCGTTATTTTTGGAGTTCCTACTCGCAAAGTGTAGACCCAATTTTACTCCATAAAATATGTAGCCAAAAATTCACTCCTGGATTGCTTAATTTCTGGAAGGTNGGGGGGGGGGGGGCATTCACCTGAGGGGAAGGACGGACGGCGGTCCCTAACTTTTTCTAAATGGTAACCTATTATCCGCAGGAGTCAGGGGGGTCAGCAGGGGTGACGCGGGACCAAGGTGACGTATACAATATGGCTACTTTAGTTGCAATTTCAATTTAAGCCGCCATTTTGAAAACTAATGACTGTTTTTTATTACAACCGCCTTGGGATTTTCCTTCGTGTGACGTCAAGAGGGTACGAAATGCGTCGACCTTGTTTACATGCGTACTCGGTTTTGTTGATTCTTTTTTGGTTTGGTTCTCTTCCTCCATCAGGCATTTCGAAGTCAAGCTTTTTTTGAGTTTTCCAAGATCTTTTAATCTGTTACACTCTTCCCATTGAGCGCCCAGCTGGTTTCATTCGAGTGAACTTTTACCACAAATCTTCCCTCTTCTACATTTTGTGCTTTCGCCGTTAGTTATCCAATTTTGGGGAATATGCAAGACCAAAGTGGACAAGCCGACGCCGCTGGTAACATACCCGGCGGTTTAAATCTGTTTAATCTTTACGAACAAACTTTGGGGAAATTCAAGCCTTTGACTCCCTTCAAACCCAGGAAAAGGAGTCAGAAGCAGAAAGAGAAATGGAACAATCAGCCAAGAGTTATTGTGTTTGGATTACCCCAACGATATTCACTGACAGTAAGTACTCACTTCTTTCTTCATCAGTCATAATATTCGGGTTTTCCCCCGAAAATCTGTCCAGAAAGGGATCAACTCCGATACATTTAAGTCTTCTGGTTCTTCCTAGAAAGCTTTTATTTAGACCATGCAAGAACATGATCTGGATCTTGCATCAACTGTCTCCGAAAAAGCGACAACAAAAACTTGCCTATTAGTGCTTGGATTGGCCAATTTTGGTCTGTTTTTAAAACAATTTAGATATTCAGTAACTCAACTAAGACTAGTCTAAAAGCATATCCTGTGAAAAATTCACAGCCAAAATCCAACTTTGTAGCATTAAAAAGTGAGTTTCTACTTCCTTTCTGCCGTATGGCTTTGTGTAATTTTGAAACTTTAAAGACGTATTTCCTGAAATTGCAAAAACTGCACTTTCACGTCTTGTCTTCCAAACCCCTCAGTTGGTTTTTCACTGTGAAGGAGACAAACCGGTTCAAATCTATCCTATATATCAATCAGCCCACCAGGATTTTTCCTGCCTGCCTGTCCACCTCTGCGGATTAATAATGTGACATCTCGAGGCTTGTCGTGTTTATAAAGCACAATTGAACCGCAGATTGCAGGCCCCTGGAGCTCGCGCATTGTATGTTAAGATAAATGTTAATCCCTGATTAGCCCTTATTTGGTGGCACTCAACAAGCTATATACTTACATGCAATCAGACGGCACCACTGATGAGTGGTGACGTAAACAATACTTTGAAGTTTGTCTGAACATACAATGGGCGAGCACTAGAAATTTTAATTTTACCACCGGCAAGAGTTGATTGCTAATTTATCAAAAAGGTCAATCATTGTAAATATTTCTCAGAAGGTGAAATGTTATTTTTAATGATACCTTGTCGATTCAACAGCATTCCTAAGTATTAAAGCCGATTATAAAACAGTTCATGATCAAGCAAAGCAGGGATCCTTCAGGGCGGTGTTAAGAATGTCATATTCGCATTTAGTAAGTTCTCAAATAATTCAAGGAAGAAGTGACTGCTTAAAGAAGAACGTTATGGATAGCTACTGGAGTTGACAAAAATGAGGTGTAGTCATATTTTTCAGTTTTGCAGGCTAAGCAACCCAGGACCCATGAATGAGGCATTTTTTAATGTTTGTTATTTCTTCACCATTTTTTTCATAGGACTTCAGGAGAGTGTTGACGGAACAATTAAACTTAGATATACTGAGAGTAAAACCTTTTCACAAAAATCAGAACCGCCTGGAAGGTAGACTAATGCTTATATTCAACAAAGACAAGGATGCTGAAGAAGCTGCAGGTGCCCTGAATGGATTCCTATGGAGAGGCAGAAATCTTAAAGCTGTGGTAATTTCAATTGCTGACCTAATCTTCACCCACTTCCTACTTGTGTTATAACCGTCCAACTTTTTATTTCACTCTCCCTGTGGGTAGAGTCCACGCCAAATAAGTTCACGCAAAATAAGTTCACGCAAAAAAAAAACTGAACTGCATGTCTGTCTAGCATCTCAAATTTTATATGTGGACATCAGAATCTCATAATGTATCCCTTGGAAGTCATCAGAAAGACCCAGAGGGCCTACGCCCACTCAACACCAGCCGTCCATAAATTGGCGGACAACTTTCGTTTTCCCATTCTTCCTCAGCATCCTATCATAGGCCTTGGTTTTTGCTTTTTTGGCCTTGGACATTTGTCTTGGAAGACCTGGGATTACTTAGACGTATTTCTGCCAAACGGAACCAGAGACAGGCAAGAAAGAAGGGGTTTGCTCGTTAGTTGAGGTCTGTAAGAATGACTGGGAATTATAAAGTGCCAATGACAGCGGTGACAGATTTGGTATTGGGATTGACGTCCGTAGTCTTTATTTTATGAACCCTTTCCACAACGCTCCTGTCACATGTGCATAGCTCATGAGTGCCGCATTCAGTCGGCATATCGACGGTGTAAGTCGGCAATCACATAACTCATTTGCGGTGTCTGAAAATCTCCGCCTCTATGTTAATTTTTTAGAGGAGAACAAATTGACACTATTCCTTGAAGTTTATGCAGAATTTTCTTCGCACAGAGAAGAAAAATCAGGCAGTTTTAAAGAATTTCCGATGAGTAGTTTTCCGTTTAAAAAAGTATGACAGGAAGTCTGCGATGTCGCAACCCGAGTTATGTAATTGCCGACTTACACTGTCGATATAGTTCTGTTTGGTAGAATGTGAAATTCTGCTTTTCCATTTCTCCGAGTGGAATCTTGCTCATTTTAACATTTCTTTTTATGCAGCTTTCTAGAGCACACCCCATCTTTCCCACTCATCTACAGTTCTGTTTGACAGATATACGTCCACTTGTTATTAATCCTTTTGATCATTATCACCCCCCCCCTCCCCTCCCCCCTCTAATCAACCCTGGACGTTAATTTCTTTTCTTCCTTGCGATGTCATCTTAAATATAGACTTTTATAAAGTCATGTAAGTAGTTGTGTGATGACAGGAGTGTAGCATGGTCTGAATTATTATAATTTATCCAGCATTTTGCCCCCTCAGCAAAATGTTTACATTTTTTCAATTTCTAAAGTGATTGGCAGAAAAGAGTGACTTTTCTTATGTAGAATTGTAATATTTCCTCAAAGTTTCATTTTCCGCTATAATTTAGGATTTTCTTTCGCAGTTAATCACAATGCATACATCACAAAATCAGACATTTTCTGAATCCCTGGGTTCAATGACCAAAGAAAGAGCTCAGCTCTCTCTCTCATTAGGTGTTGCTGCATTTTAAATTTACATACCTATCTATCTATCCGTGGATACACGGGTCTATATTTACCTTTTCGAAACATCTTTTGAATTTAAAATTGTTATTTTTCAGCACCGTTTTGTAAACTTCATTAATGAAAACTCAAAGGCGCTTCGATAGTTTCTTGTTCTACTTTTTTTTTTCTTTTTGATTCTTAAATCGAGCAAGCAGTAAATTTTTCCTAGTTTATTTCGGGAGCTGCTATTAACCTTAACATTGAGTTGACTCTTTACATCATAGCTCCTCTTTTTCTAGGTTTCCAAAAATCTTGCCGAAACCGGTGGACTTAAACGTGAAAATGATAACTCAGGAGATGAAGACTCTAAAAGAGCAAAAACCGGTTTCAAAGATCAAGCTGAGGCACTGAAGTACTCACAACTTCCCTTGTTGGATGTGCCATATCAGGAACAGGTATGTAATTTTATTGCTTTATAACTTGACCAGTAACTCAGGGCTGTGTAAACTAGATAAGGTTACTATAAAATTAATTCTTTCGAAAGTAAAAGTTTGTACAGGAGAGCCAATTACAACTCACATACAAAAAAAAAAATGAAATAGTATGTTTTGCAAAAATAATAACAGTGCTTTCCTCGGTATAATGTGTCAGAAATCGTCCATCATGATTGTGGTTGAGTCATGCAGAGATAAGCTGCTGGAAAAGAGAATAAAATTATTGTAATATGATTGTTACAACACATTTTTGAGAATTCATTTTTTATGCTTATGAAGCCATAATGTAAATAATTACTTCTATTTAACACCCCATAAATAAAACAGGAAAAATTTTATCGAAAAATTCAAGTGCTCGGAAAAGTAAGCTAAAAACAATGGGTTTGAGTTCAAATCTATTACTCATGAAAAATAACCAAACTCGGAAATTATAAAATATAACTCAATGATGAATCATAATGCCGTCATAGAAGAAAATTGAAATTAAGTATAATTCTTCAGTCTTGCTAACAAACTAGATGTAGTGGCTGTAATATTCCGATAAACTAGTAACTCTGAAGAAAAAATAATTGGACCATATTTTGCAATCAGCAAATTGCTTTCTCCAGCTCATTTAAGAAACAATATACATGTAATAAGTTCCTCTCTGAAGATAGGTGCCTTCATGATTAAATCATGTTTCCTTATTGAAAAATGGAATCCAAGTATCTTAAAGAGAAAAATTTAACATTAAATAATCACGAAATTGAAGGAAAGAAGACTCAATAAAACCAAAACTTATCAATGCTCAACAGTGGGGAGATTAATAACACAGAGAAAATATGTAATGCTTTGACGTAACCCTGAATTTTTTAAATTAATATTTAGTGGTGTTCCAGGTCTTGACTGCGTCAGGAAAAAATCTTGTAAACTTATTTTGATGTCCACTGTCTGAAAATTAATTAAAATAACTGGCGCAATCACTCCATTTTTAATATTATTTTCGCAGCTAAAAGGTAAAAAAGAAAAAGCTGTGTCAGTTCTGAAAAGTATCCATGAAAGTCTAGTGAATGGCAGAACCTCTGATGAAGCAACAAAGACAGAACTGATGAATCACTTGGAGGCGCAAGAGAAGAAATTCGCCGGTGTGCCATGTGAACTTGTTGGCCCTATTCAAGCTCCAAGCATGATTGGTTATCGGGTGAAAGTTGAATTAAATATTGGTGAGTAGTGATGCTCATCTTTAGATTACTAATGGTTTTTATTGTGTTAGAACTCTCATTAAAACTCATTGATGACTAAAGAATAACGTTGCCTAACTGGCAATTTTGTGTAAAATGGGTTACCGACTTTGCCGCATTCCACAGTATGAAATACACAAGCTGATATTTTTAGTTTTTTTCAATTCTGCACGGGAGCGCTGTATTGTATGAAAGGAATTGCTTACACAACCTCAATATTACAAAAGTGGCAAAGTTTTTTCTTCGTCATGTAAAATTGTCAGTTTTTAAACAGACAATCTTGTTCCCTAGCCAATGCGTAGAAAAATATGTTTTGCGGTAAGAAGTTCTTTCGTGCTCTTCAGATACTTCAATAAAATGTAAAATTTGGCCAGATAGTGAAGGAGAAAGCTTTTTCATCTTCTAATAAATAAAAAATCTGAGAAAAATTCAATCTTAAGAAAGAACATCGAGAATAGAACACTTTAGACTCACCCACTGTACTGGTCAATCATCAAAAACACTCATTTCGTAGCTCCAAGGGCCTTGAGGACCCGCGGAACAGTATGCATTTATGCAAACAATTCTATGCCCCAAATTTTGTTGGATTATTGGCTCATCTCAAAATTATTTTTCAGTCCAAAATTAAAAAAAATTGACGAGTCGAAAGGTTGATAGAATAGAGAATTGCAATTTGGAATAAAATTCTGCATTTTTATGGTCCTTTTAATGAAGTGAGGGATTGCCATTCAAAGAAAAAATTGATCTTGATAAGCAAAAAATGACCTGTTCTTATAAAAGCAACTACGAACAGCTTACTACCTACATTTGTTCGAAAGTTTTACCATCAGTCCTGGTACCTTTGGGACACCTTATGTAAAAGAAGACAGGAATTTTCTCAGTTACCAAAATGAGGTTCATGTTTTTTAGTTTCATTATTAATACGTGCTTACATGAATTGCAGGATTAGAAATATATTTTTCTTGATTAATTCTCTGCAAGAATCCTCTTTTTTGTATCATCTGAAATGATTCTGAAAGCCTTTGCAATTGAAAAATTTTAGTCAGTCAGAATCTATCTTGTTGAAAAAGTTATCTCAATTTATTTAAACATTTCTTGAAAAGATTCTGATTTTGTTTTAATATTTACCTCTTACTTTCCTCACAACAGGTCTGGATGAAAATGGAAAGAAAACAGTGGGTTACTTTGTGAAGGACTACCATAAAAGAAATGTTGTTGCCCCTATGACACAAGATCTCAAGCTAATCCCTGATAAAATCAAAGAGACTGCTGCGGTAACTATTTTAATGTTCTATTCTAATGTTTATATTTATGAGACTTCTATTTACACACTAAGGTTCCATTCAGTTATGAAAGCAATATTTTTAATAATACAGTCAACTTGCGCTAAGTGAGTCTTGTGCTAACATAGCAAGGTTTTTCAATTAAACTCGATTTGTTTTCTGCTCTTCAAATTTCGCTCCATAAATTTACCAAGCTCCTTCGGACTGATCATAAAGTCTTAAACTCCGTCTTAATGGGTCACATTTAGGTAAATTGCGTCATACTGAATCAATGTAAAATGACTTAATTTTGTAGAACTAAAAAGAAATGTTACTTGATTAGAAATGTTTGCTTACACCAATAGCATCATTTCCTCTCTGCCCGGTTGCTACTGACAGAATGGCGCTGAATCAGTTTAGCAATGCACCTCTTTAAGGTTTCAGCTCACCCTGCCCTTCTCTCTCCCCCACTTTTCATGCAGATGCAAGCTGGCACCAATCCAATGGAAGGTTTCGGTTGTCCCTGCTTGCATGATTAGCAACATCTAATTGATGTAGGAGCAGTAGGCAAATCTAATGCATTCCGGAAATGATCATCATATTACCAGCCTGACTCTGTGCTCCTTATGATTTGAAGTTAGTCATCCAAGCGGAGAATCGCACTGAGTTTTACTATTGTGCGACCAAATGAATAGGATTCACAAGAAGACAAAGATGAGGAGAATGAGATCAGAAAACTTGATAGCTTAAAATAATATTTAGGAATAAGCAAGCTTGAAAATTTTCCACTTGGAGCTGTCGTCAGCTAAGTTGACAGTTGTTTACTTTTGACTGTCATGCGCAATAGACTGATTTACATTTCTGCGCATGGCGGCAATGTTGCTCGCATTTGTGCCGCAGTCAATTCCCGATTACCATTAGACAATTGCAATGCAGTCGCTAACAAATGGGAAGTAAACAACTGCTAACTTAACTGGCGACACCTCCATCAGTTGATTTTTTAAGTATGGAACTTGAAAATTTTTCTCATTTAGTGGGTTTTATCAATCAGCAAACTCTTGCGTATCTTAATTTTGTTATTATTACATATTTGCAAAAAAATAACATAAATGCTGATTCTACTCACTTTGCGGGTTATCGCTCATCAGGGGTTGACAGTGTTTTTGTTCTGTGGTTCAACTTTTAAATCGCTGGTTGCCATTTTAGCTGGATTTTTCCCCCTCATATTTTTCTTTGAGGGAATTTTTAAGGATTGTGAAAAAAATAGGAACTTTACATGAAATACTCTTGCACTTGATGGTCTTCTTGCTGCCATGCAGTAGTACCAATAGATGGAATCCATAATGATTAATTGAACAATGCTTTGGCCGGTTTCAGATTTTTCAGAAATATGTTGAGAACTCTCAGTTGGATGTATATAGTGAAGAAACTCACCAAGGTCATTGGCGGAAACTTGCCGTTCGCATGGGACAGGGAACGAATCAGTTAGCAATAACTGTGCACCTGCAGTTGCAAGCACTCTCCAAAGAAGCTTTGAACGACATCAAGGATGATCTAGCTGACTTTTTTGCCCGAAGAGAAGGCAAAACATTGAACGCAACCAGTGTTTACATTCAGTATTCCACAGACCACAGGTTTGATTCCTTTTACGATTTTGCTCAGTTTTTAAAATTTTACCTTGTTACATTCTTAACCTCTCTGAATCATAAAAAACAGATTATTAAAAGTTAGTCATCGAAATATCTATTGTTTGTTTTATTACTTTTTTCTAGAGCTGTCGGATTACTTGGACGACTATCATGATTGCGATTTATTTTTTTATGTGTAATTGCATTGAGGAATCCGTTGCTTCTAATTTGACTTTTCACAAAATTTTGACTTTCTTATAGATAAGCTAAAAGTTTTATCAGCAAACAATTATCCAAGTGAATAATTTCAACCGTAAATTTCTATCAAGATTCCCTTTAAAATTTGTAATAGCTAATTTCATTTTCTGTGTTTTTTGTCAGCATTATCTCCATTAATATTCGATTTAGTAACTTTGTGTTTTGATAGATTTTATTTTTTTTTGGCCAATCTGAAAGATTATGCCAGCAAACTATTGTATGATTCCGTAACTAGGGCAACTAACCCATCGGAATTAAAGTCTGTCATTACACATTTATTTTAATATTTGATGAAATTGATCTAGCTTAACCATATGAACCCTCTCTCTCTTCTCAGGCGCGTGCCTGTGCGAGCAGGAAATTTGGAACTGGTCTGTGGAGAAGAATTCATGCTTGAGAAATTTTGTGGATTTACCTTCCAAATTTCTGCTGAGTCCTCATTCTTCCAAAATATCAAGGCTGGAGAAGTGCTTCTGAAGTGGGTGGCTGACTTTGCAAAAGTCAACAAAAACACTACTTTGATAGATATTGGATGTGGCGTTGGAACTATTGGGCTGCTCCTTGCAAAGGTAATCTATAACATCAACTTATCATCTAAAGGAGCAAAATCATTTAGCTGTTCAACTTATTACCTCAGAGATATGTAAGCTGAGTATAATCTATTGGATTCATACTCTAATCACAGATTATCTGATTCTCCTCTCGACATTTTATATGATTTTTTATTAAAGAACTGTGTGTAAGAGGCTTAGGGTGTACTGGTGCCATGGAGTCGAAGGGACGTAAGACTATTAGTCTGTTCATTCGGTTTCAGTCAGGTTTGCCACGAGAGTCCAGGAAGAGCTGGTGGAGTGGGGTAGTAGCCTGCCGCGTTACTGTGGCTAAATGTATTTACAGAAAGGGTCAGGAAAAATGGAGATGACAAATACATGATAAAATTGTTGAGTCAGAGGAACTTATTATGAGATAATTTTACTTATCATGAGATCTTTTTAAGTTAGGGATCAAACAAATTTTTAATTTGGAAGGTTTTCTAAGTTACGTAGAAACTCTTAGCTGGGGGGAAAAAATGTAATCAGAATTATATTCTACGCTATTTATTTATTTATTTATTCATGTATTCATGTTCCATAAAACAAATCAGTATAATTTAATTTCCTGCAAATTTCATGTACTATAACATTTATTTTATTTGTTTCATTTTCTCGCAAAGATCACTAGACTATAAAATACAAAATGAATTCAAAGATTTTATAATTCAAAGAATGCTTTCAAGGCATCAACCATTTGATTTTTATTAAGTTTTGTAAAAAGGCAAGAAAACAGGACAAAGCCATTATTACAAGTTGGTGGGGTTTCTGACTTGTGGAAGTTTGACTGTATCTCAATTTTTTTCAAAGAAATCACCAAACATATTCATGCCCTTTACCCTTCATTTTATTGTTTGTTAAAATTATCTTTTCTCTTTCAGAACGCTGGGGAGGTAATAGGCTTTGATACAAATGAGAGAGCAATCGATCATGCCCAGAAAAATTCGATCCGAAATGGTATCACAAACTGTCAGTTTTTCAGAGGATCAGCCAAAGTTCTTTTGTCTGAATTAATACCGAAGGCAAAATTCAATAATATCACTGCTATTGTTGACCCACCTCGGCTTGGTCTCTGTAAGTACCGTGAAAAATTTACTTTTATTTCTGGGCGAATGATAGACCACGACTTTGAAGTCATGAGGAATGACTTGTAAATCGAATTGACATTCTCTGTCAGAGAGATCGTACACATATTCCTGAATATGTTGTAGAATGATGATGTGTCATGATGTATTGTTGTGAGAACTTCTCGTCCTAATGACAAAGTTGGTAACACAACAAAATGTTTGTTTGTAATCTTTCATGTAAGTGCCAGAAAATTCCTTGCAGATAGATTCTCTATTACAGCATGAACGTTTAATAAGTAATCTTCAAATTTGAAGGCACTGATTTAGCCTCTCCTGTCATCAGAGGCCATTCAAACAAATAATAATGTAGAGGCGTTAAGAACGATTATGAAAGTTGTTCAGATTATTCGTTGATATGGATTCTATAGTCATAACCTGCAGATTATAACATTGTTGGGCTGTGCAAATAGTGAATTTTCTGAACGAAGCGAATAGCGAATAATTTAAGTCAATTATTCACAGCTACGAATAGTAAAACGAATAATTTGAAATGGTCTCTTTAAGTGTGAAAATTCGCGAATATTACTAAAGTAGACAAAAAAAAGTGTGATTAATTTTTTTAAGAATTTTCCACTTGCTCATACACCTGCACAAAAAATAATGAAATGCTATGATAATAGCCTAGGCTGTTAAAAATGTGTTTCAAGATCCCTGGATGCTGGCTTGACTGTCCCTGCAGTTACGTGTGCATTCCCAGGATTTGAAGGTAACTGCGCGGGCAGTCAAGCTAGTATCGAAGGATCACCAGACACATTTTAGTTTTTTATATTTTTTTGGTGTAAATGAAAATGTGTTTATGATCTTTTTTTTTTCTATTTCAGACATTTCTGTATCTTTCAATCCTTAATTTAGGCTCCTTGCTTATTTCCCCAATCGCAATCGCGCTCACTGTTCGTAAACTCGGCAAAGTCGGTCAAGATCAAAGGAGATCCGCCGTTTGTGATGTCTCGGGTGGAAGGGGAAGCCTTGTGCAGGTCGTCGCAACGTTTCACGATTGCCACTCGGAAATTCGTTATTTTTGATGGCGCGAATAGTTGAAAATTCGTTCCTCGTGACGGCGCGAATATTTGAAAATGTCAGTTCAAAAATTCACTATTTGCGACGGCGCAATTATTCACAATTTGCGAATAGTGCGGCTCTTCCGTGAGAATTCCCGGAAAGAAGCATATCAACGGTGAAAGTCGGCAATCACATATCTCGTTTGCGGTGTCTGAAAATCTCTGCCTCTAGTTATTTTTTGAAAGGAGAACAAATTGACATCATTCCTTGAAGTTTATGCAGAATTTTCTTCGCATAGAGAATAAAAATCACGGCAGTTTCAAAGAATTGCCTCTGAGTAGTTTTCCGTGTAAAAAACAAAGTATGACAAGAAGTCTGCGACGTCGCAAACCGAGTTATGTGATTGCCGACTTACACCGTCGATATGTACTCTTGTTACTTGAGTGATATATTTGTAGCTTCCAGTACTTTCCAGATTTGTCCTTATTATAAATTAAGAGTCTATTGAAGAATTGCGTACCTTTTTTTTACAGATCACCATGTTATGGTTCAGCTGAGATCTACTGAAAACCTGAGCCGAATCGTTTATATAACTCACTCTCCTTCTCTTGTAATCAATGATTTTGTCAGCCTCTGCCATCCACCAACACCTGCCCATCCTGGCAGGCCATTTGTTCCCGTAAAGTCTGTCGCAATTGACATGTTCCCCAACACGCCTAGTTTCTCTCTTGTCATCGTGTTTGATCGACTTCCAGCAGGAAAATAAGAAGCAGCACTTAAACGTCCAGCTGATCACATCAAGTTTTGATTTCACCTTGTTTTATTTTAAGAATATTGTAGTCGCTGAAATCCAAAATTTTTCTTACCTCTACAACTCAGACATGTAGAGAAGGGAAGGCCCTGAAAATTTTTCATTTTCCTATTATGTTAATAATTTGACTTTATTTGAGGGATTCAACTTTTATATGCAATAATCTATGTGGTTTCTCTGTGTTGAATTGCACATTGATAAATGACAGGTGGTCTTTGCATTTGGATAGACCTAATGCTCGTGCAAAAAGCAAATTTTTACATGAATATTGTGCAAAATTTATCTAATTTTCCTGCTCTCTGTAAAAACCCCGAATTTCTTTCGGTTTTCAATGTTAAGCTGATGTTTTCGATCTTGCAATGAGAAGAATTAGGGTGCTGAAACCGTTTCAGTTTCTGATATCAGTACGTGAAACGTTTTAGCAAAGACTAAATGTGCAAATGTAGGTAAGCTTATATGTAAGTAAAAAAGTCAGTTTTCTATCCTTTCTTTCTCTGTCTTACCTAAAATTCTTTTTTGGTAGTATATTATTGCTAGGTTCTAAAGAGTTTGTCAGTTTTATCTTTTCAAGTTCAGTTTTAGATGATGTACAGAATGTACTACCATTCCTACTGCATTCTAACTGAGAATCATCACTTGAGACTTTCCATACTAAGGTTTTTTTTATTTTGTCACAGACATTACATTTTGGCACTTTAAAGTGTGGTATTTAATTATCTGAGGTAAAAAAGTTTTAAAAAAATTTGCAAGAAGGGTCCCTTCCTTTCCTTCAATGTTTCATTAAAATAATTAAACCTCAAAGAGATCTATGTATATTAGAAAATGGAGTGTTGAGGGCATTACAAACATAGGACCTGTATTTGGAATGTCCATGGTGCTCTATTTTTTAGTACAGATATTTCTGATGTTCAATTCTTCTAATATAACCTTGAGGGAAAGGACAGGACCCCTTTTAGAAGGGTTTAAGGATTTTTTAAAATTGTTTACCCTGAATAATTAGTTCTTTGTGACACTTAAAAGTTTCAAAATGTAATGTCCTTAATAGCAAAAAATGCTCAATAGCATCAGCTGGAATGCCCAAAAAAAGTTTCCATGCTGTCCATAATCTTGCTTAGCACTGTGTTGATAGCATTGGCATTGAAGCACGGAATGAGAGTTTTGACTGGCAACAACAATCACCGGAGATTTGACTCTTGACAGGTTAAATAATAGGTCCTTTTTGCAGCAGTAGGTCAGAACCACAGCGTGTTTGTAGAAGTCCCGTACCGAGTGCTGTCTTAAAAACATTGCTAATTATTTCCAACAGCCAGTTAAAGCTTTCGCTTTCTTCTTCTCCATTTTTACTGTGTTGCATATATAGCTGCCATGCAAGATAAAAAAGTAGGGAAAATTTTTACATCATGATTTGTTGCGAAATCTCAATACTGAGATTTTTTTCTCTCATCTGATCTCTCTCTACCTTGCGTATTCTTACAATCATCGAAACAAAGATTTTCGAAAACGTAATTTTAAAAAGGAAATCCCCAATTTCACAATCTACTTATAATTTAACAATGAACGTTTGAAGCTTATCCATCATGGCGTGGTTAAAGAAGAGCAGGTATGGACGTAGCATTGACTTGCAGCTGGTTGGCTCGTAGAACCCTCGTCACAGATCCGTAAACAGAACTTGTGTTTTAACTTTCTTTCAATGTGTTTGTGAGAGATAGTTGATTTTAGGTCTGTGTAAAAATTGAGGAATTTGTTCTTATAGCGTTGCCTATGAGAGTAGAGAGGCTGTAACTAAGATTCTGTGACGTCACGCTAGTAGATGAAACGCGGCTGTGATTTAACATGTGTTCTTAAGGGAGAACGCATAACACATGTTCCTTTTGTGCTGATATCTTTTCAGGGGTTGATCTGATGCAAAAATTCATAAGACCCTTTTTGAAAGAAGATAAAATATCACATCAGAAAATTGCCAAGTTCATAAATTACATTGTCTGATAATTGAGGAAATAACAGCTAAACACGACTAAATATCTAAAATCGTTTCCCCACTAAGATTCAAACACGCTGCTCATGCAACTTCGGCCGATCGACGGTGGCTCTGATTGGTTAACACAGCGATTACTCTACTAGTTTGACGTCTTGAAACTGAGTAATTACGGCCTCTCCATTCTCGTAGGCATTGCTTGTAGTCGTGAACATTAGCGGTTTGCTTTCTCACAGTTTTGTCTTTTACACTTGACGGACTTACAAGTATTTGTAAATAATTGAATCTACCCCATTGTCCGAGAGATCACATTAAAGGGTGATGTCCTCACTCTCATGATTTTGAACATAGTACAGCGATACCTTGATTGATCACTTATTCTGTGAGGCCCACTGACTTGCTAATGTTTGTCTCTCAAAGAGGAATTTGGCAGATACTACAAGGCTAGCAAGTGGATGGTGACAGATAAAAAGTTCTCGGCAGGTAACTACGTTTTCGATGCCTTATGACAAGTTTGTTGGTACACATTTAATGTATTTTTTGTCCATATTTCATGTGGTTTTGTGAGTTGTGATTTTGAGTGCGTTTTTTATTATTGTGTGTTAACTGTGTCCAGCTCAGGCTTCTGCCTCAATCAATCAGACAATCAAGGTATTACTGTATCAAAATTTAAATTCGCGCAGCATGAAACGTTTTCTGTCAAATATTTTCAGTCACGACTTTACCACACTCCCCTGTTTTTATGATTTGATCTGCTACAATTAAATTTTTAGAATCTTCAGTTTAGAAGTTTTTCTCGTATCAGCCAATGTAATTCATTTTTTTTTTTTCTGATTTATCACAAAGTTTTAATACAAATTGAAAGTTTAATCTCATGTAAATTTAGGAAACTGATTGAAGCTTGCAGTAAGCCTTTGCAATGAGCGAAGAAGTTTGTGTCTTACACTCCCACCTGTTTGAGGAAAGTGTTTATCATAGGTGAAAGCTAACTTGACCTATCTCATACTCATAGATTAAGATAGCCATGTAAATATAAGTCAAGGAATAAGTATTACTCCAACTGATGTCAAAATTTTGAATGTGCAGATATTATAATCTCAAAAATTGTGAAAATTCAAATTATTTAAATCATTTTTTGGTTCCCTTGTTGGTGATCAATTTCTCTTACCATTCAATTAAAGTGTTTTTTAAGTAATTAGCCAGCTGGTTCAAATTATTTTCTTTCCTTTTTTCCCTTTTTTTCTCTCTTTTTTAACAATGATGCCGCAGAAGACTGACATTAATCGGACTATATTTTGCACTTGGAAACTAAAATTTCTACCTCAGTTTGGAAACAACTTATGTACCATTAATTTTCCTATGTACATTAGTGCTTCTATGGATGAGCCAGATTTTGTAGTTCTTAATTGCAAAGTGAAGTCTAATTGGATAGATTTCACCAGAATCTGCCTGACAGCATTTCATGTTGCCTAACTTCCTCTCAAAATTCATTCTTTTAACCACAAACTAAACAACATAACACTTTAATACTTGAAATTTTAAACTTTGAATTTTACTCCGATCATGAAAAATAATTAAGCTAAAATATTTGATGTCATTAAAAAAGTGAAATACGACAGGAAATTTGGCAACTTCTGATTTTGTGACGCCAATCCTGTTGAAATCAGTCCAAATGACTTTTTGAGAAATTAGCTCCTGCTTTGATTGCTGTTTATGTATTAAAAAAAGTTCAGTTCATAAAATTCACTTTATTTTACTTGATCTAAGAAATTTTATACAAAATTCAGGTACTAGGTTTGAATGGTAAATGCTTACAATTATTAGACATATTGCTGCCTTTGAGGCTTTCATTGCACAAAGCTGCCAGTTTTAGTTATACAAATTGGCACCACTTCTACGCACAGCAGATTTCAGCAATTTAGAGTATTAAATCTATTCCAAAACCACACAAGCGTTTAATGCTTTAATGGAAAGATTAGACAATTTCTGATCACTCACGCTTTTGGTTACTGAGAGCAGACACGTTTCGCCAATTCTGATGTTGGCGTCTTCAGCAAGATTACTTTTCCTTGGTCATAGGTTGGTTGGCAGCCATTGCAATAACCTTCAGAATTGTTGAAAGTTGCGACAACATTTTAAAAATTCACAGTAAGGTCAAACTTGGCTCCTTACAACAGCCATTCTTTGAACAACAGTACATAACATGACACTACCATTCCACAAGTTCAATGTTGACACAATTTTTAAGCAAAAGTATTAGGGAAAAAAATATCAGCGTCAACAAAAAATCAGACATTTGTAAAATTGACTACACAGTATGCGAGGAAGTATAAGTTAGACACACGAAAAGATTCTCAAAAATGAAATGCAAACAACCTGCAAATCGATTAACAGGGTTACAAGTTGAAAACCTGGAAAAGTTAGAGTAATTTACCAAACTCTGGAAAGTCGTGGAGAAGTCAGGGTATTTTTCGTGGAACCATGAAAACTTTCCTTCCAGTTAAAACATACATTTTTTCAATTTCAAGAGGTCTTGCATTAAAATTCTTAATACAAATTATTTTATGAGAAATCCAGATGATAGTACATCAAATAGTCAGGAAATTTAACGTACGAAATCCCTGAGAAGTCGAGGAATTTTCTCGACAACCTTTTTCTCTGTAAAAAGGTTTAAATTTATTTCCAAATAAAGAATACTGAAGAATCTCCTTCAAGCTGTTGCTCCAGTTGCCGAGAGCTTGTAGTTGCAGCAACGCAAAGTTCATCCATACACCTGAGTCCATTCAAATTGCTATTATTCATAGAAACTGGATACTGAAACAAATTATAAAAAGCATTTAAGAGAGCTTCATAAAGTGTTAAAAAAGTACCACTAGAGCCACTAGAAAAAGTCGGAACTAACAATAAGAATAATGTCACTTCTTTTACCTTCAAAATTTTGTGTAGGAGACGTTTCACACAACAGGATGTTCAGAAATCATGATAAACAACGAAACAGGCAAGAGTCAAATGGAATTGGCTATGAGTCATGCTGATATTATGAACCTGCTTTCCACAAAAATTTAGGTTATTTAAAATCTTTCTAAAAAACAAAGACCAGTTTTTAAAGCTTCCAAGTGAGATGTTTGGGCACTACCAGCAGTGTTTGAAACTCACAGGCGCCAACACGCCAAATGGGCCTAAAAGATCGGTCATGGCGCCTAAAAAATGAAGGCTCTGAGCCAACAAGGCCCATAAAAAGTGGAAAAAATCCTAATTTTTCTGTTTGGTGATTTCTTTAAAGTTACACGTTCCAGCTACTAGTTCTGTAGCTAAAACATCTTGCGTCTGACTTTTCACAAAATGCGCGGTGATATACAAGCATAAAGTCAATTTGGCTCCTACAAAATCTTCAATGGCCCCTAAAAATTGAGCTTGATGGACCAAATGGCTCCTGAAACTCTAAGGTGAGTTTCGAACAATGCTACCAGGCAAAGTTAAAGTGACCCACACAAAAAATAGAAAAAATCAGAGTGGCCGTGATTTACTCATCTTCAAAATCCCTGGCTTGGCCAGACAACTTTCTAATTCCCTGACTGTCTTTCACTTTTCCTGACCTTCAAACAACCATTCCCCTTTTTCATTTTTTAAATTTTCACTAAATTTTGGACAAAATTTATTTGCTCAGAGATAAAATTATGGGAGAAGGCATTCAGAGGGCTGGTTAAAGATGTCAAACCTTAAAAATGACCAGAAAGGGTAAACAGTTGGAAGATTGGTAATAAGCTTTAGTGATGAGTAGATGTGTCAGAAATTCCCTGACTTTTACTGGTTGTCGAAAATTCCCTGACTCCCTGATTTCCCGGTTTTCCAAACCGCCAGCAGCCCTGAAAAAATCCACTTAATTTACACAGCATTTGCTAAATGTGCACCAATTTGTAGATTTTCATTTCGGTTACTAGGATAGTAAAAACAATGTTTTCAAAATCCTTTGGTCTACACTATTTTTTTTTTTTTTATCACAGAATGGTTTAAGACCATGCAACTTTTGGTTTGACCGATTTAAAAAGTTAAGTTCCATCCTAGTGCACACCTGTGAGTAATTGAAAAAAGTCCACCATTACATCTGCTCACTGGGCTCTTGAGCGGATCAAAACTAACAGCTTACACTATTATACTTGAATTTTTTTGGATTTTCCTTTTTTCCTTCTTTTTTGTTCACTGTTATTTAAGTGGCAATGACAGAGAAAAAGAGGAACAGAGGCCGATCTAATAATTTGTCAACAACGGATTTCCTCCATTTAAACCTATGCTAAATAATCGATTCTTGTCGGATCACCTGGCCCCTCCAAGAATCGATATATTCCTATGGCTTAAATGGAGAAAAGACAATGTTAATACACCAGTGAAGAGGAATATTTTACAGTTGAATCAGAGCACTCACCTTACGAATTTTTCGAATAAGTCCTTGCAGTACAGCAAATTGTACTAATTTACAGATGTCTATATTTAATGTGGATGGATTATACCTAAGACAAATGTCCCGGACTGTAGTACCATGAGTCATGGAGCAAAGCAGCCTGAGAATATTTTTCACCGTTGGAAAGGGACTGCCTGAAATCAACAGGTATCAATGTTAGAAGCTATGACCGAATAACGAGAGTGTTCACATAAGTAGGGCTTTGAGGGGGTTAAGCAACAAATTTAAAATGAGAAGAAATAATAAAGAACTTTAAAGGAAGTATACTAATTCTCACCGACCTGCCAATGCTGCTGCTCGGACACAACTTTCTTGCAGAGATCTTTCTGTACTTAATTTCCGTATTTTTGGCGTAGCAGCGTACATATTGGAATACTGGAATATAGGAATTAAGCTGACCACACCGTAGTAGCTGGAAAATAATTGGAAAATACTGATCAGTAAATCAGGGGTTTGCTCAAAACATTGTACAAATTAGAGACTGACCTGACCTGAGACTGAACCTTTGACAGTGATTCATTTGAAATTTAATTAATCTGATAAAATAGACTGAAATTAAAAAAAAAAAAACTCCAAGGGCTTTGCAGAGTTTAAGCAACTTATTTTTATCCTATAGAATGACTGAAATCAGACTAAATTGACGGGGTAATAGAGAATTTGCAGGTGTCTGAAATTTGATGAATTTCGACTTGAGGTGATAACTACTGATTAAGCTGAACACGAGGATACCCTTGGTTCATGAATTGAACAATTATTAGAGAAAATATAACAAAATGATCTAATCTGCTAAAATATATGTGTTTAAATTGGAAATGCCGCCAGATGACATCACTAGGCGGTGCATTTTCTCACTTTAAAATTTATTTTTATACTATTTCCCATATCGGAAAAAGACTATAAAAAATACTATGAAATCAGCTCTTTAAGTACTTTGAGATGAGGCAATAAAAAATTTGCGTGCAAATTCTCAATTGAAGACAATACAGCCTTTCTTAACATGGCTGAAAATCTATAAATTATCAAATCTTCCTGCACATTAGAAGAATTTCAAATATTTAACTTAATATTACAAATAGTTGTAAACTCTTTGAATTGTAGCATTACAATGACAATTATTTGCCTGCGTCATTTATACTAAATAAAAATAAATACATAATTTTCCAAATTGATTAATAAATTCTAGGGTTGGGAGATACAGATAAAAACTGTTAGAAGATCCTGATCCAAAGTCATATTTGGAACAGTTTTTTCTATGAGCCACTGTTTTCACACAATTTGACCTTGAAGTTTTGATAATTTGTATAACAAATGAAGCCAGCGCGGCAATAATGAGTCAATGAAATCCCTTTTCTTTTCAGCACTCGAGAACAGGTCGACTATATATTACAGAAACACCCAGCATGTCTGTCCAAAGAAGAGAGTGCAAAAGGGAAAGAAACTGATTTAGACCGTGAAACAAAAAGGCATGCTAGCCCTTGAAAAGACTGCTGCTTGGCAGTAGTGGTAGTGACTACTGATAACAATATACATTCACGCACTAGGTTCTTCTATGAATTACAGCAAGCCTGTTTTGAGTACTGAAAGAGAGAGGCACTTCTTTGACTTATTATTGCCATGCTAGCATTCATTAGCTTCATTTGCTAGGAAGACTATCAGAACTTCAACCGCAAACTGTGCGAAAACGGAGGCTTGTAGAAAATTGACGCAAATACTTTTTATCAGGATCGATAGAGAAGTTTAATGACAGAGAGAATTTCTTTCTTTTCCAAGATGTAAACTCTTCACTACAAAGTTAAAAGACCTAAAATATAGAATAATGTTAGTTAAGCAAACGCTTGAACTTACAGCAAATTTTGTAAACATGACTTGACTAGATTATTTTCAACATCTGCCTCAGAGGCTATTTTTGCAACATGATTGAATCCGTCTATGAAAGGCAAAATCTGTAATCAAAGATGAATAAAAGAACATAAAAATATAGAAAAGTAATCAAAATAAAGAGAATTAAAGATAGACAAAAGCAAAAATCCTGTCAGATGTTAGCGAAGGCTATATGCTGCTTCATTTTTTCTCAATCTAAACTGTTGCCATCGACACAAATTTCAGGTTAAGAGGTTGTTCCATGTTCCATCTACATACTTCTGAAGGTAAGTCCCTGATAAAAACTCCTAATTTTTTCACTTATTGAAGAGCACGTTACAGGATATCCAAACATAGTTGAATTTTCAGCCTATATGTCCATGGGGAAGGGAAAGAGGTCATACAATGAACACTTTTTGCTCATAGTGTTTGAACGGTTCAAGATGATGGGCGAAACTCTCTTCAAATAAAAGGGCACCAAAAAAGCTTTCTATGAGCACATAATGCTGTGCATATTGGTGCAGGTTTTACCGGTTAATCCTATCAAACTTTTTCCACCAGTCCAAAGATCATATTTTTTTAGTCTTAAGGTACGCAGATAGACAAAAAACTGTCCAAGTTACAGTCCTTTCTCTAATAATTAAGAAATTAACGTATGAGGTTTAAAATTTCATAATTGTTCTAGGTTCATTACGAAAAAAATTACTAAAGCAGTGGCCCACTATGAGAAATGGGAATCTGAGTATTGAGATAAATGTTTCCTCATCATAACTTCAAATAAACACACATTTGTGCAATAAAAGCCATTGAAAGTAACTCCTAACCAAGATAATAATGTTTTTCTATTCATGAACTTAAGTTTCCCACTCATAAAATAACCATAATGTACTAGAGTCAAACTGCACACTAAACGAAACCGTAATAGTCTCAGCGGATTGTATGTATGGCATATTCTATTTTGGCGCTTTGGCTCAGCTGTTGCTCATTGTTTACACTTTGATCAGCACACGTCAGAAGGAATATTGCTCCATTCAGAAGGCTGCCAAGACCATTGAAGTGCACGATTTGATCATGGGCTCTGGTTTTTCTTGTAGGCAGGAAATTCAAATTGTTCTTGACCCGAGGTAAATAAAAACGTTAATATCTTGGTAAAGAGTTAATGACAGTGATTTTCTTTACAAAAATCATGTTCTACTAGAAATTTTGAGGAGGAAGCATATACAAGAATGCTTGAACTCGTACCTTGCCTAGTGCTTTATTTAAAGAGGCTGGAACTTCAAGATATTTTACAATTTTGCAGAGAATTGTGAGAGATGGAAAAAACTAAAAATCAGTATGAGTTGAGATACCTGTTGAGTAGTAAGATCCCATTGCTCTGACTGAAACTTTTCCAAGGGTTCCACAAAGACAGGCACCTGATAATCATATACTGGTGGGGGATCACAGGAAATTTTTACTACTTTCAGGTGAGTTGTAGCTTTCCCCTCTGAGAAATAAAACTTCAATTTTAGTCATAATTGTAACAGAAAAAAAACCGCAAGGGGACAACTTCATAGCCTAAAGGGTTTTAGATGATTCGACGGTTGCCATTTTTTGTGTCAAAGCAACGAGCGATATATAGCATCAATTCGTTCCATAATTTCAGCTAGCTTTCATTCTTTTTCGAATTTTGAGATCGTACTTCTGTTGTCATGAGACTAAAGAATTCATGTACCAAATTTACAAAGAGATTCAACGTAATAAAGGCAGGGTTTTTTTAGAGGAAAAAATTGCATTCGATACTGATATCGAAACTGCACTCGAATGCGATATTTTTCCTCTGAAAAAACCCTGCCTTAATTACATTGGATTTCTTTGTCAAATTTGGTACATGAATTTTAAAGTCTCATGACAACAGAAGTGCGATCTCAAAATTTGAAAAAGAATGACAAGTAGCTGAAATTATGGAACAAATTGATGCGATATGTTGCACGTCGCTCTGACACAAAAAATGACAACTGTCAAATCACCTTAAGATATTTTTTGTAGGAAAAAACAATATAGCGTAAAAAAACTCAAAAATAAAAATAAAAGCTTACAAAAACTAAAAATAAAGGTGTAAAAATATCAACAGCTCCTGCATTACTAATAATTAGAACTGTCCAAATAGAATAGGCTAGAAAAAGAACTATGAAAAAATCGATCACACTTTTAACATGGTAATAAATAAACCAACAGGCCTTTCCGGCCACTATTTCAGTCCTGGAGGGATTTTGCCCTGCCTGCATGTTTATTTTTAGTATTTATTTATTTATTTTAATTTCAAAGTTTAAGAATATACCGTGTGCCATGGAATCAAAAGCAGTGAGACTTTAAAATATGTAACCAATTGAGTCAATAAATAAAATAAAGCAACATTTTAAATTTGCTCATCTACCAATGCTAATAAGCCAAAAACTGTTAAGTTTCTAAACTTACCAGAGAGAGTGCACATTTTTTGTCGATTGAGATCCAGTAGAACTTGTGTTAACATGCTGCACAACCGTTTTTTCTCTGTTTCCGATTCATCTTGTAGGGATAAAAAATTGCTTTCAACTTCCATTTCTGTCTATATAAATGAAAAGAAAATATATAAATATGTAATTAAAAGCGAAATGGTAATAATAAGCGAGCACAAAACTCATTGATTTTTGAGAAACAAATTTTATATTTGTATTTTCTGAGCAAAGCCAACAGCTGGGACCCCTGGCATACGGCATTGCCAGTTGCCACACACTAGTCTTAGGAATACTAGAAAAAACAGCCTCAAAAGGTGACTTCATCGGTGCTCCAGTACATAGCAACTCTATTTTACTCTATAGGGGAAATCAAGTTCTGCCGAGGATTTTGAAAACCTTGTCTGATATTAATGCAAAGAGCGCAGTAAAATTTATCCTTAAAATTACAAAAAAAATTGCCTTACAGTAGACAGTCCTACTAAACAGAAAACAGCACACCTCGTTAAAAAGTCTTAGGTAGAGTTTACCCTAGAGTACCTGTATAGCGAGAGTATGGACAGATCGCTTCATGGAGGGCTTAGGGCCCAAAAGTGCAGCCACCCTTCTAACCAACTTCTAACGCACAAAATTTCACTGCCAGTCTGCAGGTTCCAATTCTAACCAAGATGGCCAAGAATGTACATAAATGAGCGTTCTTCCGCAAAATTGAGTAAATTTATGCAAAAACTGAGTCAAACACGTGCTTAATAAACGACGGTTCGTAACAATAGTATTAGTAAATCGTTCTGGATAATTGAAATTCATAGGTTGGCTGCATTTCTGGGCCCTAACTTTATTCGCAGAAGCATCGGTGAAGGCCTGATGGATTTTCGGAGTTTCACATCTGTCCATACTCTCGCTATACAGGTACTCTAGTTTACCTTGGAAATGTGGACTACCTCCTGCAAACACTGCACCTGCAGACAAAAATACTTTCTGCCGGTAAGAGATGTGGACTGAAGATTAATAATTAGATTAATACTACGGAGTACACCCCCTGACCGCTTTGCAGTCCAACCCCCCCCNCGAAATTTTCAAGCATGTGAGGCTAGGAGTTGACGACTGACGCATTTAAAGTTTAGGAACTTACCAGATAGTCTGAGAGCTTTTTGACGACAGGTTCATATTGAACAGTGCGAGCCCAAGCATCAAATACGAAGCAGAGGTTAAAGTAAAATGCATTACGAGCATATTTCTTATTGTCTATTCTAACTGGAAATCCAAGAATTTTATGACCAAGAATTGTTCTGAAACAATGACAATGATTATATAGGCAACTTCCTTTGATAATAAAAACCAATTATCTTTTATTACATTCATCTAACATTCATAGCATAGACCATTTTTTGCCAAAGAAACCTCAGTATAACTAAAAACAAGTAGGAGGTACCAACATACTGTATTGAGAGCACTTACTTTTGTGGTTTTCGACAGAACTTGTAACAAGAGGTGATAAAACCACCCCTTGGAAACCTCGGAAAGATATGGTTTGTCGGATATTTAAAACATATGAGGCCAAAAGTGGATTTTATGGCAAGCTGAGGCCTTAAGAATATGGAAGCAATTTGTGGCATTTTTACGATTTTCCAATGGGACTGATAATGAGTGGAGAGTATGTGGCCTCAGAAATTTCCAAAGGCAAGGTGAGCAATGATTTCACCAGTTTTGCAGGGCAAAAAGGAGAAGCTTAAGGCTAGGTGAAAGAGCAAGGATAGCGTGGGTAAAGAGGCGATGCTGGCACAACAAGAAGGAACAGCCGTTGGGGAGAGGAAAGGCATGGTAATGAGTAGGAGCAGGGGATACATGAGACTATTGAAAGAGATACGTGGAAGCTCAGAAAATAGAGCAATATGATTGGTACAGAATGAAAATCCAAGGAAAAGAAGACGCTTGGCCTATGTAAACCATGTTACAAAAAATCACACTGCATGGGTCTGATCAGATTGCTATTCTAGCTAGCGCTAAAAATTGTCAAACTGATTGATTAAGTGATTTTACTCTTAAGTTCATTCCAATTCTACGAATAACAAATGAAAGTCCCCAAAAATCTTATCTTTTCTACACATTAGCGATCACTGCTGATGACAGAAAATTGCTTACTTACATAGTTAATGTGCTTCTTTGAAGTTGAGCTTTAGGGATGATATAAACACTCACTGACTCAAATGTGTCTTTTGAAATATAGTCCTCAGGGATCTGTAAAACAGAATACAATCTTTTATTTACATGACTGTAGGTAATCAGTGAAAATTAAGTGACATCTTACCAAAGTATCTGAAGAATCTCTTGGCATCTTGCCACTAACTTCCTACAAGTTATTCAAGTTGGTGTTATCACGGCTTTGAACAGAGAATTTTTCATTGCTTGCTATGAAGGGTGCTTTTCTTTTCACTTGAAAATTCATAGTTTTGAGTGTGGAGTAGGTGAAGGCGAAGGGCTGTACAGGGTAAGAGGCTGCATCATACTTTTTCCTGACTCTCTGGTTGAATCAGCATTGAAAACAAAGAAGTAGGTATGCTCAAGATAACACCCTCTACTTGTTATGGAAGTCTAGCGGATGCTTTAGCCTTGAATGGTTTGGTTGGATAGCGGGAATGGAACTTCTGATGCCAAAAAAAAAGTATTTCCCTCTCATAAGCGTACTTGGATTATTATACGACATAGAGAAAAAATAAATAGGTGTTTGCATCTTAAGGATTTTGTACCCTATGACATTGGTCGGTACAACCTGTTCAGCAAAATTCAGAATTCCAAGTATGAAAAACGGACCATAACGTCCGATTCTTTGGCTTAAATTAACTCATGATATAATTTCAAAAACTTTGGAAGAATGCATTTTTTCCATAAACTACACCGTTTCCAAGAAAATCAATGATAAAAGTTGCCGTACCGACCTACGTCATCAAAAAAATTCCAAGATGTCCGAAATGTAAACGCCTCCTTTTTTTTCTCTATGATTATAATAGGGGGGG